AAAAAAAAAAGAAATAGATCTCAACATCCAAGAGGAACAAGTGAGTTACTCTATATAAATGAGTACTTGGAGGTGGAGATAGCTCAGTCGATAGAGCATCAGACTCGTAATCTGAGGGTCCAGGGTTCGAACCCCTATTCGGGTGGAAAAAAAGATATTGTCCTTTAGGACAACAGCACGAGGAGAGCTCTGTGTATATAAAAAGGTCCCAGAGCTCTTCCAACGCGCGGAGGATGGCCATCGTAGTCGGTAAAAATCCGACACTACCTAGGTTAGGTGTCTTCCCTTAAAAGACTCAGGTGTTCTGTATCGAAGATTTCCTCCACGTGAAAAAAAAATAAATAAATATAAATGAGTTACTTACGTGCAGGAACTGACTGAACTCCGGATAGTTAATCAATCGTTTCTTATCCTTTCCAAAATAAAGTTTAATGAAACTACTGTCCATGTTGAAAGGCATCCGCTGATGGAGTTCCGTTTTCTTCATCACCTCAGCGAACTCGTCTGGAACGTGAGTACAAACTTTAGAAACTCGTTGTTAGGTAATCAGCGGCGGCTCGTGCAAACGTTTCTACGCACCAAATGCAACCATTCCGTTTCCATTAGTATCGAACAGCTGGAAGGCTGTCTTGTACAGTGCATCCGGCACGCAGAGCAGCCCTTCGAACGCTTGGAATTCAGCGAACGATATAAGCCTGGCGGGAAAAGGAAAAATAAATTTCATTTGCCGAATTGACAATTTGTAGAATTTTTTGATTATCGAACACAAACCCATCTTTACTGGTATCGACGATACCAGCGAGCAAATTAACCGAGTCAGGATTGTAGTCTGAGTTGGTGTAGAGTCCAAGGTAACTCCGGACGAAGTCAGACGGGGTCATGAACCTCTCGCCATTCTTCTCTTTTGAAGCGTACTGCAATTTTTAGAAATCTTCGTTTACTTTTACAATCAACAGACGTGATAGTATGACTGACATAATCATCAAGCAGCCTGCCAAAGTTTGTGCACTTTTGTAATCAAAAGTATTGAATTTAAATAGAGAATTTGTATAGATATTCTACATCTATTTTTACATATCGTTTGATACACATATTTACGGTTTCAAGGCCACAAGTGCACATGAACATTCGCAGTCTACTGACGATTGTTGCAAAAGAACCAAGTAGAAACCAGATTAAATACCTGATTAAATATTTCATGGAGGCGTTCAGTATTTGCACGCTTTAAGTATCCGGAACCCTAGAAATCACACGTAAGAATTAACGACCCCTTCGATGAAAGAGGTGGATATCACAATCCGAGGCAAAAGAAAAGAAAAAAAAAAGATTCTCTTAAGATTAAATTATGAACGAGTTAAAGTGTCGCACGAGTGACGTTGACATTATCAAACCGGAGGTAGGAAAAATGACAGCGAAGGTTGAAATATTACGACAGTAACGTTTCGCAGTTTAGCAATCTATCCGCTGATTTATTGCAAATTTGACGAGCTTCGGTATGATTAGTCGTACTAGCACAGTGACAAATATATATATATATATATATATATATATATATAACGACACTATTTCGAAACGAAGGCTAACGAGCCAAGGGTTATCAGCGAGCGAAAATTTATCGTCGCGTGATTAAGGAAAAACGAAAGATTTGCATTCGATTGCGTAAACCGGCGTTCGTTTAATATCGAGATTTCGAACGCATTCGATTCGTGAAATTCCGCGTGTAGTAAAACGAAGGAGAGCCAGCTAGCCTCGTTAATAATATAACCGACGTTAAATTAATTTGCGTTCGACATCGCGACAGCTGTCCGTTCGTATAATAGTTCAAAGTTCGAGTGCAAGAGCTGAGCTTGACAACATTCTAAAAAGGGATCACGATCCCGGCTGCCCCGAATTATTTAATAATTCGAAACAACGATGCTCGCGGGCGCCTCTTCCAAAATACAACGGGAAAAAGTATGTAAAGCGAACGCGTGGAGGGGGATGAAATTCGCGCGGCACTTGCATTTACATAGCAACCTTGGAAAACTGAGTTCTACCACTGTAATTAAAATACTTAAAACCGAGTAACCTACATACCGTGGCTCCCATTTACGACCGATTATCCGGAGGGAAACATGGCACAAGCAAGGGGAGAAAATACGCCAGAGCGATCGAATCTTACTGATCTACGTGTGTTAATGTATACGTGTGTGCATGAGAAGACGTGCCACGTACTAGTCGCGTGTGTGGCAAGCCGCCTTTTATTATATTCGCTGTTTCACGGTCGTGCGACGTTCAAGAACTTGACGCAAAAAGTAGACGCGGGACTATAGTACAACACGGTGTTACGTTGTTGCGTGCCAGCAGTGCTACTACTATCGACGAGATAACAACTCGATCGTTCTACCAAGTAAAGGTACGAGTTGTTCTCGAAATAATCCTCGTTCTACGCTGCTCGTTTATCCTTCGAACGAAGTGCTCTTCAAGCTTGTACGTCGGTGCTCTTAATGTAATAATCTTCATCGACGAGCGGATAACCCACAGTTATCGATAGGTCAGAAGTTGAAGTGTTGACGATGCGTGAGCATTCCGATTTACAATGTAACGGACAGAAATGAGTGAACGTGGAGATGAAGCGTCCTCTTCCGACACGCTTCCACGCGAGCGCGTATACCGCGTTCCTCACATACCATCGCAAGGTCTCTGGATTCTTTTTTCTTTGATTCTCTGAAGTGAAACAGATCCAACGTGTCTGCAATGTCTCCTCAACTTCTCCTTGGGATCGACATCCTGACGTTGAAGATGGCAGAAGAAATGAACGAGGAACGAGTACGTGACGCATATGTCAATAGGATGACAATGAGAAAAGAAGTGGGTGTGCTGCCACACGCGCGAAAGTCACGATGAGACTGAATCAGCCTTGCCATACGAAAAGAGAACATTGCCACGACCAGCTCCCTCCTCTCCTCTCTTGCCGCCACAGTTCCCTCGAAGATCATCGCCTTTTTTTCCTTTTTGCTTTCAGCGATAGCGTATCACCTTCTCTTCGCTTCTTCTGCAAATAACTATTCCACGAGATATCTAGAAATTTCATGTGTATTACAGAGTTGCGCCTTAGCCTTAGCCTGTCAGAGGCTAGGTAAGGTATTTTTAAACTGACTTGCTACTTGTTCAAACGTCATAGATACCATCTTAAAAATGAACGCAAGCGGGTCGAAGCCATCACATGAGGACCAACTTCCTGTTTCTTTTTCATACCCTTCGTGTGTCCTTAGTGTCCTCGTCCCTCCAATGTAGCACGTTCTTCGTCTATTCCTTCTGTTCCTCGAGAATTCTCGCTAACTCTCTGTTCCCTTTTAATTCAATTCTCCTTTGCGTTTCTTTGAATGGGAAGAGCGAAGTTGTATGACGCCGTTGCAGATCTCTCGATCATTGTCAAGAGCAGGTATTTTTGTGTACTCACGAGCGCGTGCCATGCCACGACCGGTTGCCTCCATTTTGCAACGCCACGTGTTACATAATCGTACAAGCTGGTTCTCGACGCAAATGCACGTGCCGTTTTACCGAGCTACGTTAATTAAACCAGTTAATTGCTCATCTTTCCCTTTCGTATACTCTTACGTATGTACCACCGAATTATTCTAAATTAAACATCAATG